TATACTCATTGTAATCGTGAATTATATATACACAACAATACGCATCTCACTAAATCAGGGTGATTTTCATAAATCATAATAGTTTCTAACATTGCATTTCAGAATCAAATTTTTTGACAAACTACATTTGCTACAACTACTACACGTATGACTGAGTACCCAAAAATCCTGAAGCTAAGGAGTAAATATATCTACTTATTTTAGTCATACTATTCTTTCTTTAGTTTAAACATTTTCAATTTACTAATTTTCATGACAGACTCCGACAATGGGTCACTTTGCAAGTGCGGTATGTAAAGTGATGTTAGACATGATAGTAAACACTATTTTCATATTATTATATATTTAAATGAACATATTCCAACCATGATGGACAAATATTTTTTTTAGCCACAAAGACCTAATGATAGGAACTTTAATAATGAACTTCACAACAATAATAAAAGATCACTAATTTATTGTAAACATTTATGATGATACCAACTTTGTATACTATCTTTATGCAATTAAATTTGGTGTGTATATATATATATATATATATATATATATATATATATATATATATATATGTATATATGGCTAAGTTCATTTGTAACTAACATCTATTGCGTAACCATATAACTAAATCCTAGCCATTAGATCAATGAAAAATAAAATTATTCTTAAAAGAATAATATTACACTTATTATTATATTAATTTTTTCAAAATTCATGATAGGAAACTATTTGGATGTAAATTTTGGAAATTTCTGTATCAAATGTTAGAGTAAAAATTGGAGTAGTCATGACTATGTTTTTTCCTCTCTCGAATTGATCCTAAACATATACCTGCAGAGTGTGTAAATTTCCATTTATTAACTTTCCACTGAAATGTTTTAAATACCCTTAAATAGTAAAAAAAATAATGGGAACACTTTGATAACCCAAGTCAAATATGTTAATGTTGGCAAGAGAGTAAATTCGGGTAAAAAAAACTTGCTATATTTAACTAGAAACTCACCCAACTACATCATTGTATCTTATAGCTCCAACAAACTTATCGCATTTGTGTTTCAATAATTACAAAGGTGTTGTATTTTTAAACTTGGATAATCACTTTTAGTAATTGTGATTAAGCAAATTAAATTATATTTTCTTGAATTAGCATAATTTCTTGATCATAGGATCCAGAAACCTCATAAGTTGAAGTCCTTTTGAGTATCTGGTATTCGGATGTTTGTAAATCAAGATTCTTTTAAATCTGCAATTGTATGGATAATAGAAAAATGAAACAGACAATGAATCTTTGAGTGTATGAATAATGTATAAACAGTAAAAAATACAAATACATGTTTTATTAGATCCACAAGACTTTCCATAGAGAAGTACTCATTGTTGTTAAGAGAATTCCAATAATCCTATGAAGTTGTTGAAAGGAAACTAATGAACTGCTAAATATTGCAAGAATGATGTGTGTTTGAGAGTCGGGAGAAAAAGGAGTGTACCACACGATTGCAAAACTTTCCATTTTCTTTATTAGTGCTCATAATCGAAGTTCCTGTAAAAACCAACCTTTTGAAATATAAGTAATGGACCAGATGAAATTATTTATTATTGCTGCCAGTGTTTAATAGGCACTAAGTCCATAACTACAAGTGTTATCTATTAGGCGCTAAGTCCACACCCGCAAGAGTGTTCATCTATAGCGCTAAGTCCATAACTACAAGTGTTATCTGCCAGTGTTTTATAGGTCACTAAGTCCATAGCTGCGAATGTTCATCTATAGCGCAATAAGTCCATAGTTGTCAACGTTCATCTCCTTTATTGTGAGTATTATTTTTGGGATTCCCCCCACAATACATGTCAATGGGGTTTTAGAGTAAATCTGGTAAATACTTAATTCAAAAACACCTACAGGTTCTGAGCTTGGTAGTGTTCCACTGGATTGTCCAAAATAGTTCATGGTTATCATCTATACTCTGCTATATGACATCATCTTTATAGCCAAGGCCTCGTATCATCTATTTCCTCTTTCATCTCACACCATATATATCATCGTTATGTCTCATCATCTATATCATCTTTCATTTATCCATCTTTACCCAATATATTTATAGGCATATAAAAAAAATACATATATAGTTTAAATCAAGTAAAACATGTATAAATCATTCATCTAGTATAAATATCAGGGAAAAATATAATAGACACATATAGCCCGTATTTATAGAAAATACTTCATATCTATGTGTAATATGAGAGAAACTATGCACTCACTTATTAAAGTGACGACTCCAAATTTGGATCACACTTCGCTTCTAGCAATTGTCCTGTCCATTCAAGTAACCTAATGTCATTATCACTAAGTCTTAGTCTAATATTTATTGAGACTAATTATTATTCAAGATATATCATTAATTTAAATTCTATTGATCTATAGTTGATAAGGGACAACCATGTAGGATCATATCAGAGGTAGGGTCCTTTTAGTATATAAAGTAAACTGTCTGGAAATCCCACTTTAAACATCTCACTAAATCCATCCAGGAGATATTCCCCATAACTAGATTATTCAGTATAGTAAGTTGGTGTCACTGATAAATCTTGTTTATAGGTTCAAAATAACGATACTAAACTTAAACATGAGTTACACTTAAAGTATGGTACGTATAACTTAACTTACATGTGGTTAAGCGAGAAACCGAACTTTGCACTGGCAGAGTTTCTAAGCCAAATGCTCTTCTTCTTGGGGCTTTCTCATGTTCTGGAGATTCACTATTAACACTATAATTGTAATGAAATCGAGTATGAAAGATAAGATTGGAGTAAAGAATGATTGCTGAACATGAGTTCTAAATAATATATGTCTGGCTCAATTATACCTCCAAAATGTACAGAGAGTTTAGATAATACGATCAGAGTTCTTATCTATCTGTAGTACATATCCCCTATTTATAGGGATCATGAAAGTATACAAAAAATATAAGGGAGTAAACACACAAAGCTTCGAAACATAAAAGTGCCCTTATAATAAATTACAAAGCTCCAAAACTATCAAAGACATTTGACACCTCACAACAATATTTGACATCCACATTATCCACCTTTGTGAGAAAAAACAAATGAAGCCTATGAACTTTGAGGAGCTTCATGCAAAATTCTTCGAACTTAAGAGTACCAGTTGAAATCCTTTTGAATTTCTGCATTTTCTCTTTCATTATTCACTACACAACTATTAATTCAAACTAACAGATTTGTATAATGAGCAGAAGTGTATCTCTCAACATCACACACTTGGAATAAAAATTTTGTGTTGTTTCCATTCTTATTCTTACCAGCAAACACAATTCCAAGAGGTTTTAGACAAATCTCCCCATCTTCATAGACTTTCAAACTGACTTGGTTCATTGTCAATGATTTGGGAACTGAAAATTGATTTCCCAATGTTGTAGCTAACTCAACATCAGTTAAAGCTAAAACACCATAATAGCCATCGATGAAAACCATTATATGTGCGAACCCCGATAAAAAATCTTGTTTGTTAGTCACCTGTAGTTTCGACACATCAACTGACTTCAAAATCATTGCCACAACCAGTAAATCATGAAAATTCATCAAGAGAAATTTTGTAACCGAGAAATTGAAAGTAACATTATGGGGCCGGATTGCATGATATCGATAATTTTGCAACATACCCTCAAACAAAATTTCTTTGGATATGCTGAGAACCTTAACTATGTTGACTAAGGACCAGATTTCTTCTTCCGTTTTTCCAAGAACAGCATGAAATCTCTACTTCATTTGTTCGAACAAAAGTTTATCCTTGAAATTATCAACGATCTCAAATTGCTCATCCATAAACATCATATGATTGATCAAAAAGTCCAACTGATTGAAGTTGATATTCTCTGTATTAGAAATCGTTTTTGAAACCTTCTCAGATTCACTCATCTCCCGTGTAACAACTGAGGTTTCGATATAGTCATAAGTATAATATTTTGATGGATCTCCTTTGTTTATACCAAGACGATCATTGGCTCATTGTCAAAGAATACTTTGAATTTCACATTGTTTCTCGATTTCTTGTTCAACAGTTGCTTTATTTTCTTCTTTGGTAGGCTCTCTAGAAATACCCTTCCCCCTGTTCAACATTTCTTCAGTAGTAGGAAGTGGTTTCAAAGAACTTGAACCTCCCTCAGCCGACCTAATAACAACTCCTTTAGAAATTGGTTTCGTTGTAGTTTTTATAGAACATAAAAATGTAGACATTTTAGGAGGAAACAAAATTGGAATTTGAGTAGTTAGAACTGTACAAACCACCTTTGCATCATCATTAGTATGGGCACAACCTGTGATCGCGGGTTTTAAAGAAAACGCATCTCATGCCTTTTAAATGAAGTAGGATGCTATTCTCGCACTATTTGGCCAACCTGCAATTGCATGTACACAACCTGGGATCGCAGGTTTTCATTTTTCACTTCCGGATGAATTTTCGGCACTAAAAACCTCAAATCCATGTTGCGCCTAACCTACAATCTTACAAAGGCTCCATGCGATCGCATAAAGGAAATATGCGATCGCATGTTGTGCCTAAGACTTCCGAAATTTTGTCTACTTTTCAGATCATTTTGAATCGCATCAATCAAAGTTACGGTCTTGAGATATGGTCAAAATACTGACAGGGGGTCAAAGCTGCCAACAACATCCTTTAACTTTAGATTGCAGATTCTATCTTCGTGTGATATTTTTGATCTAATGTTTCTTGACCAAAGCGTCTTGCAAGCATGTCTCAACATACTCCATAAGTCCTAAGCTGCACTTTAAGGTCCAAACATGCATCCCATTTCTCCCTAACCACTGCTCCACTCGAACTATCTGAAATTGACAATAAAACATGCGCAGTATGGGAATTCTAACAAAATACATGAGCTAAACATTGTTTATTTAAATGAAACAGAATTTACAAAATATAATGCTAAAATGATAATAAAATCTATCCTATAAGATGCATGAAATGACATCTAACACCCTTTCACTCCTGTGGCAATAGGTAGGGCATCAGTTGGCATAATTTGTGTGAGTTTGGCGAGTGGTGAAAGCTCCTATTCAATTATGGGGTTATTAACAAAGAGGAAACAAAAGAAGTATTTAACACTAACCCCTTTAATTCAACTAGTAGTTTATTTATTTTTCCAAAATTCATGTCAGTTTCATCAACCTTTGTGCCAACCATAGGATGTAGAGACTCATACATAGTCACATACTTAGTCACAACATCAGCAATAACATCCAACTTCTTATGAAGAGAGGAGTAATTGTGTTCTAGTGTTGCAACTTCCTTTGCCATTTCTTCACGAAGTTCTTCGATTTTCTTGTTTACATCTTCATAAACCTTGTTAACATCTTGAATGAACAACATATGAATTTACTTTGCAACAACCTTCAAATTTACAAGTGCACCATTAAAGGAGTCTGATTAAGCTTTGATTCATAAGTCATTACATTAATCTATTTGATGAAGTTTATCTTGAGGATGATACTCTTGAGATTTGAGCATCACATCCACTTCTAGGTCAAAAGCGGAATGTTTTCCCCTGTATCGGCTGGTAATTGATGAAATGAATTGAGTTTTCGATTAAGAATTTTGAATTGTTTCCCACTCATCAACATTTTGTCAGGAATGTATTCTTTTTCTATCAAACTCAATTTCAGCAAATGTACCCTCAAACTCATTATCCTACATTTGATCATCTTCTTGAACCATTTTGTACTCAGTAGACTGTGATGAAAACAAAGATGTAATGGGTTGATTGATGATGTTTTCGAATGTAGGTGAATGTGTAGAAGTAGAGATGGTTGAGTGAACTGGTGGTAGAGAAGTGGTAGTATCAAGGCTAGATGTTTCGAAGGGTGATGAAATAATAAGATTTGAAGTACCTTGAGTTTGATTGAGTTGGGCTTCATTATTCGACACTCCATAACCCATGCTGACATTTGTTACCATATAGGATATGTTCACAAGGATGCCTGAAGTTCCAACCTCCACAGTAACTTTCACACCCCGAAAACCGAAGGCAGAAACATTTCCTAGGCGGACTCCACGTTGAGTATCAAATCCAATGCACATAGTAAGCAAAATAAACAACCATTACATTACATATTAAAACTTACATTTGTTCAAAAGTAAAGTTGTACAAGTATGATACATATGTGTGTGTGTGTGTATATATATATATATATATATATATATATATATATATATATATATATATATGAACAAAAGTAAGACGTGTTTTCAACGCACTCTGGCTTCGTCAAAAGGGTTGTCGGGTACCTGTCTAATGCGGACCAGAGAATACAAGCATTTTAAAAATTAGCATAAAGCAGGTGAGTTCATAAGTGGTTTTGTTTTCTGAAAATGAACAAGTTTCCTTCCGGTTTTCTGAAAAAGTTACGAACCCAAGAAAATCCCATATTTTCTTAAAAGTAATGTTTAGTTTTCTGTTATGTTACACAAATCTGGTTATGAATAGCTATTACCTCAGGAAAATCCTATATTTTCCTAAAACGTTTGTGAAGTGTTATCGAATCTGAAAGTAACGTACATGTATCTACCATACTTAAAGTGTGTGTATGTGAAGTTTCCTGAATGTTTGGTTACCTTTAAATGTACATTATTTTTAACACGTATATAAAACTAATAAATAATTATAAAGTTCTCACAATCTTGATTGCGAGTTCCATAACCATACTACAGACTAGATATGACTCGGAACGGGGCCAATATCTTTTATGACTTTTTTCACCCTTGAACCTTTAGGTTCGGCTATAGCTAGCAACCAGGTGCGGGATAGTCAATCCCGTATAGATCTATACACTCAAGTCACGCTCTCGTTTTCAGAAGATTCTGGTTATAGGGATAGTCCTCCACTCTCGTATATAGGGGAAGTGTTGCAAAGGACGTGTCTCCAATCTTAAGATTCATGAATTTAAAACTGAAATTAATAATACAGAAATCCGGTTTTATTGGTTCTTTACTCTCGTATCTAGGGGGAGTATTAACTAGGACCCGGCTAAGTTCCAATGATATTTGTCCTTTACATTCGTATCTAGGGGGTGTTTTATTAAGGACAATACAAAAGTTCTATGATTTCAAACATTAAATGTGTGAACAATCAATTGTAAAGTATAAAGTATAACTCTATATAGTAAGAATTGAAATCGGTTTGAAAACAACTCTGCAAGTTAAACAGTTTGTTAATATGTTTTCAATTCTTAAAAGTGTATTGATTATGAAAACATTCAAACGAAATAATGAATTTAAGTACAAGATATTCTTGTGCTTTTGCTTGTATTCCCCCCTGAAAACATTGAAAAACAATGAAAAAGGGTAGGGGTATGAACTCACCGGTCGAGAAGTGTGTCGACTAGGATGCTAAACGTCGGATCGAGGCTTGAAAACTTTTGAGGTTCCCATGTAATATTAAATGATACACATATGCATCTAATTAGACTTTAAATTACTAATTAGATATGATTTTACAATCCAAGACGCGAAAACACTTTAAATCAAGTGTTTGGAGTGACCCGGGTGACATCTATGGACGTATAGGGCTTAGATAATGAGTTTGCTCTTCAAGAGTAAACTCCTTAAGGATTTTACTGCCCTAAGACTATGACCACATGAGTTCACGGCCGTGAACTCATGGTTAATGGGTTTTATGATGCTAAATGGTCTTATTTCACTTAGGAAAATTGGCTAGGATCAAATCTAGGGAATGGGAGTGGATTAAACTTACAAATGGACCATTTAATGGATTTTACAGCAACAAACTAGGAGTTTACGGCCGTAAACTCCCCCCCACACATCCCTTATGTGTTTTGGTGGTGCTAGGAAAATCACATGTGATTTAAACTCATTTTATAAGCCTTTGATGGAATTTAGGGCATCATTTGACTATGTTATAGGAGTTTACAGCCTAGGAACCCATCCTTGGGGGGTTTACAGCCATGAACTCCTAAGGGAGTTGTTTCCATCAACTTTAAGGCTTCTAATTCGATTGTGGTTGTTTCTAGACTTTAATCCAAGGCTAATGGTGTGTTTAAATGGCATTTTTACACTTTAAAATGAGTTTACTACCCATGTTATAGATTTTACGGCCCAAGCATGTTCTTGGTCAGTAAACTCATGTTTACTCCCCAAAATTTGGGTTTGAGGTGTTCTAACTCCAGTTCATTAAGCCATTTAGCCATATTTAAGCTCGAAAGGTAGATTGGAAGGGTTTAAATGCTCAAAAACCCATTATATGTGTGTTTACGGCCCAATCATGTTCCAGGGCTGTAAACACATGAAAATGGTCCTAAATCATAATTTCAACTCGGATTTGAAGGGCTAAGATGCTATACTAAGAGTTAGGGAAGTTACCTTGGTGATTTGGAGCTTAAATTTGATGTTTTTGGACCTTAAATTTGGTTTGAGGAGAGAGGTTAGAGAGAGAGAGAGAGTAGTGAGAGAGAGTAAAAGCTTCAAATGGAAGCTTGAACCACTTTAAATATGTTCCAAGTTTAGGACACAGTGGAATTCTACGCGATACCGACGTTATACGATGCTTTTGGTCGCACCCGATTAAGTTGTCGTAACCCGATTTGGTCGGAAGTAAAAATTTTCTAAGTAATAGTTTCGGATGTTTTCATGAGTTTCTAACGTGTTTGGATACCAAATAAGTCATAATAGAAGTCTCAAAAATAATGACTTGATTTAAAACATTAAACGGAACAATTCAAAAAAGACGAATTTTATGGACAGAAACGGGTTACGTCGGTGGAGCAAACTTCGGGTTGTCACATTATCCCCCCGTTAGATGGAATTTCATCCCGAAATTCAAACCTTAAATAAAACTCAAGGAATTCAAAAGATATACGTATACTTCAATTTCATCGGATCTTTACGCTCCCAATGAACTCGTGTCTTCTTATGGGATTCTAGCGAACCTTCATTATCGGGATACGGTTTTGTTTTGTATGTTTAATCTCTCGATATATGGTTTCGATTGATTCCTCCATGAGGTTCAGACTTTCATTGGATTCGGTCACATCGAAAGGATTATTAGGGTTTCGTCGGGTAGGCACTTCTTATGAATAAAGACGTGGAATACCGGATGGATGCTGCTAAGTTGTGAAGGTAGTCGGAGTTTGAAGGTTACAGAATCCATCCTAATGAGGATCTCGAAGAGTCTAATGTACCACGGGTTAAGTTTTCCGAGCTTTCCAAGGTATACCATGTCTTTCCAGAGTAAGACCTCCTACAAGAGGGTACACATTTTGGTGTCGGAATGGTTAGGGTTTTGGTGATTCAGGAAGAATTTCTGGATGAACCTGCAATAGTAGCCAGCAAGACCCAAGAATTTGACGGGTTTCAGCGGGTACTTTCGGTGCCGACTAATTCTCTATTGCTTTGATCCTAGGAGGATCCCACATGTATGTCTTAATCGCCTACTACATGACCAAGGAAAATGATTCGACCGATGGGCATTACTACGAACTTATAGCGATCATATCGAGTCCGACATATTGTCTACGAAACATCACTCTCATGGATTTGTAGCTAACAGTACCTTGACCTAAATTTTATCTTTGAGAAGTGGTTGGTTCTCTGAAGTGGATCGAAAAGGTCATCTATTCAAGGAAAGAGGATATCGGTTTTGACGATCAACTCATCAAGTTGACTGGATAACTCCTGCATTTCTGCTGGAGCTAAGCGATACGGAGATTTGGCTACTGAGGTAGTTCCAGGAATTAGGTTGATGCGAAATTCAACCTGATGTTCGGAAAGAATTCTCGGAACCTATATAGGAAATACATCAGGACAGTCACAGACTTTGGGGACGTTCTTGAGGTTTCTAACTTCCTTTTTCCCGCGGATCACATGGGCTAGGAATGCATGACACTCCTTTTGGGGAAAACTCTTGAGTTTTGATGCACGAAATGATACGAAGGTTGGAACCGAATTTATCGTCATAGATCACGAGGGTCTGACCGGAGAGGAGATTGGGACGGATGGCTTCTTCAATACAAGGGTATCAGCACGATTTGGACTCAACCATTTCATGCCACATATAACATCAAAACTATTTATGGAGACTGGCATATGATCAATGAATGAAGAATGGTCGTTCGGAGCAAATGTACAACCTATGGATGCATCGATAAAGTTCTCTTTCCCGCTGTTAGTCGTCTCGATGGTGAATGATCCATTTACTAGTGAAGGGCTAAGATTAAGAAGATGTTTAAATGAATAGTTAACATATTTTCGTTTAGCACTAGAATCAAAAAGGATTGCAAGCGTAAGAGTTGTTGAGGAGGAATATACCTAAGTCGACGGTGGGCTCAGCGGCTATTTCCTCTCGTCCTATTGCTAGA